ATATGAATATCTATGCATAAATGTGTGTGACTGTGTGCGTCTGTGGAGGGGTGGGGGGCTGCGTGTGCGTTGCATAGAGAGAGAGAGAGAGAGAGAGAGAGAGAGAGAGAGAGAGAGAGAGAGAGAGAGAGAGAGAGAGAGAGAGAGAGAGAGAGAGAGAGAGAGAAGAGAGAGAGAGAGAGGAGAGAGAGAGAAGAGAAATAAAGAAGAGAAAGAGAAAATAATGAGAAGAAAGAGAGATGAAGAGAGAGAGAGACAGAGAAGACACATGGACGTTAAGCACACCCAACAAACAATACCATCGTCATAATCATCACCAACATCACCACCACCACCGCCACCATCTGTTCTCCCCTTCCGACCTTCCACCTTCCACCCTCCGCCGCCGCCAACTGCCACCTCCTCAACCACCTCCACCGAATCACGGCTTCCACCCCGTCAGCCCATTTTCCATCACTGTCTTCCGGAATGTCCGTGTTCACTCAAGGAAAATGTGGCTCCTTATGACCTTTCACACACAATTTCACTCCTAAAAGACTCCTTTTTTCTGTTCATTTTTTTCTATTTTCTTTTTTTTTTCTTTTTACTGCTATGTTCGATGAGGGAATGGCAATCCTCTGCAGTCCCAGTGGCTTCTATAAATTTACCTTCACATACTTAATCAAAATTATGCATTAACGAGTGACTACTAAAGCATCGCAAGCACACAATACAATACCCTTGAGAAGAAAAAAAATCGTAGAGGGAAACCCAAGAGCCCATAATTACAAAACAACAGTAAACACAAAACACAAATCTTGCACGCGCGTTTATTCAAGTCCACGCCTCCCCGAACAGACAGCAGTCTCTCAACGTCAAATTAAACGGTTCCCATGCCTCCCTGTAATCCCCAAACCCAAAAATATGAACACGGGCATAAATTATGTAAATGCCACCTTTAGTATGCGTGCGTATCCCAGCCACAAAGCCGGATACAATGCCCGTACAATGTCTTTTCAATGAATGGCTATCCATTCTAGCTGGCCGGCCAAGCGCCCATTCACAAAGCCATCAATTAAACTCTTCATCCACTCATGCAGAACCAAACATTCATCCACGCCCTCTCTTCCCCCCCCCCCCTCACCTTCTATGTGTCCTGTTCCCCTTTGGCTCACACGCCCCCCCCTACCCGGCCCCCATCCTACATAACCCCTACAAAAAAAAAAAAAAAAAAAAAAAAAAAAAAGAAAAACTGTACCTTTACCCCGACCGCGTCTGGCTTTGTGCCTCCTCAGCACCAACCTCTGGCGAAGGCTTTACATGGCGTCTTACCTGTGGACAGAGAGAAAAAAAGATAATCTATGAGACACTGTATGGACTTTCCCCTCCCCCCTTTATCCTCCTCTTCCTCTTCCTCCTCTCTCCCCCACCCCGTTCTCCCTTTCCCCGGTCCTCCATTACCCTTTCCCATGCCCACAGTCTGCGGGTCCGCGCCATGTGCTCCCTCTTTACTCTCTCTTGCTCTCTCTCTCTCTTATTCTCTCTATCTCTCACTTCTTTCTTTCTTTCTTTTTTTCTTTCTCTTTCTTTTTCTTCTCTTCATCTTTTCTTTATTTTTTTTTCTTTCGTTCTTAATCTCTTTCGCTTACTCCCTCTTTCTTTCTTTCTCTCTCTCTCTCTTACTCCCCCTCTCTCTCTCCCTTTCATACTTTCTCTCCCTCTCTCTTTCTCTTTCTTTTTCTCTCTCTCTTACTCTATCGCTCTCCTACTCTCTTTTGCTCGCATCCCTCCCGTGCATTATTAATGTATTGCTATCAAGCGCACTCGCTTCAAGAAACAACTAATAATTCATAATTAGCTTTCACATCAAAGGATAATATTTTCTGTTGCTCAGACAGAGAGCAAAGTACTTATATTCGCTTAGCTTAACAGAGCGATCAGTGACAAAATGAGTGAGCGAGTGGGTGGGTTAGTGAGAGAAAAGTGAGCGAGCGAGTGAGTGAGTGAGTGAAGTGAGTGAGCGAGTGAGTGAGTGAATGAGTGAGTGGAGCGAGTGAATGAGTAGGAGTGAATGAGAGAGCGAGTGAATGAGGAGCGAGTGATGAGGAGCGAGTGGAATGAGTGAATGAGAGCGAGTGAGTGAGTGAGTGAGTGAGCGAGTGAATGAGTGAGTGAGCGAGTGAATGAGTGAGTGAGTGAGTGAATGAGTGAGTGAGTGAGTGAGCGAGTGAGTGTGAGTGCGAGTGATGTGAGTGCCGAGTGAATGAGTGAACATGAGTGAGTATGAGTAATGAGATTGAGTGAGTGCGAGTGAATGAGTAATGAGCGAGCGAGTGAGTGATTGAGCGAGTGAATGAAAGTGAAAGTGAATGTGAGTGCGAGTGAGCCGATGAATGAATGAGTGAGCGAGTGAGTGAGGGAGTGAATGAGTAAGTGAGTGAGCGTCCGTTCATTCTTTCATGCGCCATCGTCCGCATAGCCGCGCATTCGCGTGCGCCCAAACGCGTTGTAAGGGCGCCAG